AAAAGTTGCCCAATTTGAATCCATACCTTTGTTGTCTGTCTCGTTATTTCAGGGGTTAAGGGGCAAATGGATCATTCCATACAGTTCTCACATGGAATTCACACACCCCAGTTTGAAACTACATCAATCCAAAAAGATATTTTTCACAAACAAGTTGGCCTGTTATTTAGGCCCCATCTACACTGCCATATAATGCAGTGTAGCAATCACATTAACCTTTTGCATCCACGCAATATCACAGTCTAATGCAATTGAACCCAGGGTATTGCACCTGGAAAGGTCTGAATCTTGCAGCAAAACCCAGAGCTTTCCTAGTACTGCAGCAGTGAGGACAGCCACACCAAATCCCAATGTGGGAACCAGGAGAAAGAGTGGGGAGAGAGTATGCTGAATGACATTTAAAGGTAGTTAAGACCTGGAAAGTGAAATTGTTATGCAAGTTTCAATGCTAAAACCCTAGTTAGGTTGATTGCAAATCATACCTTGCAAAAGCTTTGATGCGGTGACAAAGAAGATGTGACAGCTAAAGAGTAAATACGTTTTTTTAAAAAAAATCAAAGACCAAAAAGATAAATAAATACTTTGAACAGACTGACGCCTAAATAATTAATTAGAACAATTAAAAAACCCCACCAGAAAGCAGAAATAATTGTTGACACAGATATTTAACCGATATAGGTCTCTCCCTTTCTCTACCACCCCAAATCACAGAAAACAATGGGGCCTGAATACAACAAGCACATTGCCATCAAGAGGAATAGTTCTAAAAAGTGCACACTAATAAGAGTTTGTGCTATGAAATAATGATATGGTGATAGTAACTACAAAATTAACCTTGGAAATGGAATTTATTTTAAAATGTTCTGCATTGCAGGTGAATATGAGGGTCAACTTGACAGATTTCTACAAAAAAGTGAATTGCATTTCACCTTTTCTCTCCAGCATACCTTGCAGCCTGCTAATTTTTGGAGTGTGGTGAATACTGTTGATTGATTGATTCATGTTAACCAAACCTGAATGGACACATAATTTGATCACAAAATAAATAATAAGATTACTCCAACCTAGCACCAGGGAAGTACAGAACTGATATGGGCCTTGTAAAAATTTATAATTTTGTTTATGTTTATATCACCCATGCCATTCACATGACATGGAACCAGGAAGAGAAGCTGTTGAAAATGAGGTAGTTGCTCTTTCTTTTTTTTTTGGCTGGCAGCAATGGATTAGGACAGAGGCTGGCATTCACGTCCCTATCCAGCAGCGCCAAACTGACTTAGACACAGCTTGGCAGTATAGATGTGCTCTTGCTGCTGAAGCAGGTTCAAGTGTCCCTTTCAGGCTGCAATGCCAGATATTTCAAGCATTTTGCATGCTGGTTCCATCCTGCGTTTTGTGGCTCTGTAGAACTGGCCAAAGTAACAAAGTACCTGTTTTACATGGCTCAATTTTTGCCAAGTCAAACTAGAAATATCAATACTAGAAGGCCTAATTGAGCAAGTAATATAATCTGATATGGTACTATTTATGCTCTTCTCTTTCAAAATAGATATTTTCAGAACAATTCAGTGTTAGATGTGCTATGGTCATGTTCTGAATTTTAAAAGTTCCCAAGAATATGAAAGGATAACCATTGTGTTTTATTGGTTGAATGTTTGTGGATCATGTTATATGACTTCTAGTTAAATGGAAGTTCACTTCTACCTCTGTTGAATCTTTTTCTATGGAATAATAAAATTCAAGATATAGAGCTAGAATAATTTTGTTGAAAACAGACTCAAACTGTTACATATTGCTTCCTGATAGTGCCTGGATAAGAGAAAGATTTCAACATCTACCTTTTGTAATTTCATTTGGTTGTCAATGTTATTCAATATACAGAAGCTGACTAACTTCACTGTTCACTTTGTAAATATAGATTTGTTTTCAGGGTTTTATTTCCCTTGAGAGTACCAGGGATGGAAATTCAAACAGGGCGCTGTGCATTTATGTGTGTGCATGCTACCGATCTTTCAGTCAGATTCCTCTATAATGACTCCAGAGCTGAAATCAGAAATAACTTTTCATATGAAAAGCCCCTTTGCTTGATTCATCAGTGGGCATGGAGGTAGAATGTAGCTCAATAAATTGAGATGTGCTATTCAGGTTAAACATTTCTCCACTCGATACACAATTCCCAGTGACCTTGATGTAATGCGTGTGCGTGCATGGTCTGAAGGTCTTTTAATCTCAGAAGTCCTGTGGTTGTGACAAATAAAAATGTCAGAGTATGTCATTTTGAATTTCACAAGAGGAAAACCTCTCCATTTTTAAGAATGCCTGCCAATGATACAATACACTGTTTCAATACAGCAAGTATTTTTCAGTAATTAATGAACCATACATGTTTATGTGAGTGTGTATGCAGATGGATAGCCAGTTAATTCATTAAAATATTTTGTGAAGAAGGGTTATAGAAGTGAAAATCATGAGAAAGGCAATAATTTTTCATCTTTAGTATGTCATCAATTGAAAGATTCTCTTTGCCAAAAATATATTGCTCTAGTGTGGAGCCTTAATTTTCTTGTGTTTGGTATTCCAGTGCCCTTACCTGCTTCATAAGGTATTTTGCTCCTCCCTTCTTGATTAGAGAATCACCTCCGTGTCTTGCTCTCTTTTAGGGCTCATTTAATGCAGCTACAAGATGACTTAGAACTGTGGCAGCTACAAAATGCACACAGCCAATGGATCCTGCAGTGCTGAATAAAGGGGATTCAGCACATTAAAGAAAGTCAAAGATAAACCATTTAGTGCACTGCAACAGATCCCAATATATCCCAGACTGCAAGGCAAAATTGGCTTTTGGAATACAAATCACTTTGTAAATACAAGCCCTTGCTGAAGCACTGTGTAGAATTTGGAACACTGGGTGAGGGGCCTACTGAAAAAATGGCTCAAGACTTAACAGGGGGCAAATTTATCTCCTGGGAGGGGTAATATACCACCCCCACTACTAATTGCCTACTTTCCCTTTTTTTTCACCTTTGATGATGGTGTGACTCTCTTGGGAAATTGGAAAAACCCTCAACTGGTTAAAACTGTGTATTAATAGTAAATAATGGAAATGGATTTGAATGTCAGTTCCTTGTTCTATTCGATAATAATAAATAGTAAACTTTATTGATATCCCACCACCATCTCCCAAAAGGGACTCGGGGCGGCTTATAAGACATTCCAAGTACAGCATATAACATAAAATGATCCATGAGCATAAAACAATATCATATAAAATTATAAAAACGACCACTATCAACACATACAATAAAATAAAATAAAGCAATTTAAAAACACAAACGATCTGAGGTTAAAACTAGTTGCCATCGATTCATAACTAACAAGTCATAAAAGGGGAATTCATTATACTATTCAGTGTTTCTAACAAATTAGTATTTTTATAACCTTTTTCTCTTCCTACTTAGGTTGCTGTCCCTACTAACAGTATAGTCAATGTTTATTATTTATTTATTTATTTATTTATTTATTTTATATGCTGATTTTCACACCTCTGCGGGAACTCAAAGTGGTTTCCGACATATGGCAAAATTCAGTGCCTTACAAAACATGAAAACCTAACATAAAGCAACAGTAAAATAAAATGATCAATTAAATAATAAAATGTGACCACATTTAAACATTAAAACAAGGTATTAAAACATATTAACATAAACATTAGAATTACACAATCCAATAATGTTTATTGTATATTAAGATTTTGGTTACCTATTTTTACCAAAGGAAACTACAGAAGTTGTTGAGGACACATGAATGCTTGTTTCTTATTCAAGAGCAAATCAGAGAATGGCAGTAAGCCTGCTAATCAGTTTCAAGGTCTTAGCCTTTATCTTTATGGACTGATGACACCTAGTACCAATTTACCATTGCAAGGATTGAGTTGCTTTATACTTTGACAAATGAACAACCAACTTTGATTAACTTTGTCTCAGCAGATATTTTCCTACCTACGACTAAGCAATGCCATGTCCTTAATTCTCAGAGTGATATCCTCTGAGGGAGAAATAATCAATTTTGCTCCCTCCTCCTTATCTTATAGTGGAGATTTATTCTTATTTTGAAAGGCTAATAATAATAATAATAATAATAATAATAATAATCTGCCAACTGCAAAAGGCCACCCTACTGGGATCTGCACACATTATCTGCCGATACATCACACAGTCCTAGACACTTGGGAAGTGTCCGACATGTGATCCAATACAACAGCCAGCAGAGTGACCTTGTTTGCTGTGGACTCATCTTTTTATCTTAATAATAATAATAATAATAATAATAATAATAATAATAATAGTAGTAGTAAATTTGCTGTGCCAATCAAATGCTCATAATTGACAAATTCTTTTCTGACATGACACACTTACTTGCTGTCATTTTTGCATTTTTCATGTTGATTGCTCTATTTACAAATAAATGAGGGTTTGCTTACCAATATCTTTTTTTAAAGAAATAGGGAAAGGAAACAAAGTGCTCTTTTTTTAAAAAAAATTCTTACTTTTACAATTGCCCTGTATGCATTTCAGGTCATGCATTTGGTATGGAAATTTTCTGTTGCTGCTCTTTTGTTTCAGATGTTGTTTTTCAGAAAGAAGAATTCTCTGGAGGGAGCTAGAATGCAGAAGTGAGTGTTTAACATCTGGCTTGCTACCTTGCACAGCACCACATGGTTACTTAAATAGGTGGTTCAGTGTTTTTGTCTCCCATAAACCTTGCCCTAGTAGAAGCTTTTCCAGTGGAACATTTGGCAAAAAGCTGCATCATTTGCTTAATGCCATGTCCAAAGCAGTATTGCTCTCACAGAAATATGTACAACTATTTAGAATAATTATATTGTGGTGGGGTGTCCATATATATAAGACTGAAATAAAAATGTAACATAATTTAATATACAAAAAGTGGAAAGACAAGAATTCATCTTAAATTAATGAATCAACCTTCTTCTGCATTTTATTTACAAAATACAGTAATGAATTACTCGCAAGAAAAGGGAATGAATTATTTGCTCTGGAATACACCAAGAGCCATAATGTAGGCTGGAATCTATGTGCTACTTAGCTACATAACAATGTTACATGCCTAGCTTGGTAGCATTTTCCAGCTTGATCTGATCCCCCAAATCCCACCTTACTGGATATCAGCAATTCTGAGTTTCTTTTCTCCTGTTTATCAGGAGGCAGCAGGCTCATGTTTCCATCCCTTCCATGGTTGCTGTTTCATAAATCAGAACTGGAGGACTGTGAGGATTCCTACATATTCCCTATGCTGTTGAATACACAGGTATCATGAATACAAATCAGTCATGAATGTGTGACTCCAGGCTACAGATTTGTAATTGCAACTGTGAATTTTAGCCATAGTTTTTATGATGGATTAACAAAACCAGTTTGCATGTCAAGTTGTCAAGGATGACATCAAATTTATGATTAACTGGTTGTGAGGCTCAGCAGAAGGACAAGATTTCAGATTTCTTATTTTGACCTACAGTTTGAAGCATTGGCTACAAACTGGCTTCTTATTTTGAACTACAGTTTGAAGTATGGGCTGAGTGAAAATAGTGGCTAGATTGACCAGGACTCAGCCAATATTCAAATAGAATGTCTGGTCTGTATTGGCCCAAATTTGAATTTATGGTTGTTTGATAGGCAAAAATTTTAAGAACTCTTTACTATCCTAATTATTTTTGTGTGTCCGAAGCATCAGTATGGAAAAGTGTCTTGTAATAGTAGTTATTACATTTATCTCTTGTTGACCTCAATTAAGATCTGCATCTTGTGCAGTCATACTGACACTGTAGCTTGGGAATCCAAAGACTTTGGATTTCCCTGGATACTTTTGTTATACAGTATGAACCTCTTATCTATATACTCAATATCCACAGTTTCACTTACCCATGCTTCAAAAAAAATTCTCCCAGCAGTGTTTGTGCACCTCTAGTTCTTCCAGAGCTATTTTATGCTATACTTCCAGTCCAAGGACCTCTTCACATGCTGTGCTGTTTTGCTGGCAGTTTCTGGTGAAACAACAGGTGTGCAGGTATTCTCATAGCACCCTGCAAACCCTCACTCCTTCCCCCATCATATGGTGGGGACTGGAAAGGTACATTGGTGCCATGTCCCTATTAGATAGGCGAAAGGGCAGCAATGCATGGGAGGGAGGGGGACGGATGAATGGGACAGGGAGGGGGAGGAGGAAAATTGCAGGAAAGAGATTAGTACAAGTAGGGGATGAGGACAATTTCATATGAAATGTTTTATCATTTTTTTGTTAAATTGTTAAAATGTATGTACCGTATAAGTCGCCTATGTTATCTACTAAACTTTTTCATGAGGAAAAGCACCTGTGTTACAGTCTACTTGTTTGCCCCAAATAAATAAACCTCTTCCTCCCATCCATATATATATATATATATATATATGGGGAAAATGAGAGGAAAATATAGGTAGCTCCATTAGAGCTACTCAAAAAAAACTTTCCTCTCTGTCATGGCAGAGGAAGGGTCTTGCAATGGGGCGGGGCCAAGCCAGCATTGTATGGTGGCTCTTGGCAGGCTCCATCCTGAAGTGGGAAAGAGGACCATATAAACTCCCATGTGAAGAGGTCCAAAATGGAACATAGATTAGCATTGGAGAACATAGAGATATTATTAAAGAACATCACTCAGAAACAGGGGAATTCCAGACAGCAAACAATCAAGTGCCAGTTAACATCTCCTAAACAAAAGATAAGTCTAGACAAGAACAGCCAGGCTACCTCTATGCAAATAGCCTTACTGACTGACTTTGCAGTTGCAAGGCTACTCATGCTAATCAAGCTTGCTAATTGTAACATTCACACTTACTTCAAACAGACAAAGGTTCTTTCTCAAACCCTGGACATTCTACAGCAAGGGTCCTCAAACTAAGGCCCAGGGACTGGATGAGCTCAGAGTCAACCTATGTCTGAAATGACTTGAAAGCACACAACAACAACAACAATCCTTTCTCATCAGCCAAAATAGGCCCACACTTCCCATTGAAATATGAATATGTTTATATTTGTTAAAATTGTTCTTCATTTTAATTACTGTATTGTTTTTAAGTGGGGTTTTTTTGCACTACAAATAAGATATGTGCACTGTGCATAGGAATTCATTCATGTTTGTTTTTTTTTCAAATTATAATTTGGCCCTCCAACAGTTTGAAGAACTGTGACCTGGCCCTCCGTTTGAGTTTGAGGACCCCTGTTCTACAGATAGATGGATAGATAGATAGATAGAGAGAGAGAGATACATACATACATACATACATACATACATACATACACTTCACTTGCCTCATTTTCAACAGACCTCTGAACAAACCTCTGAGGATGCCAGCCACAGATGCAAGTGAAACAACAGGAGAGAATGCTATTGGAACATGGCCATACAGCCTGGAAAACTCACAGCAACCCAGTGATTCGAGCCATGAAAGCCTTCACCATAATTTTTGTCTCTTCTCAGGAGTCATGTCTTTTTACAGTATCTCCAGAGTATTAGTCAACTTGACTTTTAGGGAGAGTTCAAACCGCATTTGGCCTAGGATTCATTTACTTGTCTTTTTATCTTACTTCCAGTTAATTTTTATACATGTGCAGCTATGTGTTCTGTAAGAGCGCATGCTAAAAATACAAGCTAGCTATCAGAACTGGAGTTATTCTTAGGCAGAAT